CCCCAGCGCACTCGGCAGCAGATCTAGAAGTGGACCGGAAGCACTTCTGGTCCACTGGGGAGCATGCAGCTCTCCCCCCACCCACTCAGCAACTGGTGCCTCCTGGATCTGCAATCATACCATTCTTTTGCTAAGCAGATTTGCACTTAAGTAGTTGGAGACCAAAACACACAGCTAACCTAAACAGGTACATACATATCTCATCTCACTAGGGTCCTGAGAAAAACTGTGATTGTGGATTGTGTAAAAACTGCGAAATTCGCAGCACACCATGATTTTTAAGGGTTGCGAGCATAGGCGGCAGAAGGCCGGGCCTAACAGGGTTTAGCCCTCTCAAACTCAGGGCAGCCCAGGTGCGCTGCCCAGGCATGGACTCCGGGTGGCTGCATTGGGGGGGGGGGGCACGGCGGGATGTCAGACAGACAGCCTGCATGCAGCCAGATGGCACTGCTCACCACAGCAGTTAAGTTGGGGAAGGGGCATATTGAAGCCCCCACAGGGAGGAGAGAGTGGGGCAGAGGCAGGGTCAGGGGATGATTGGAGCCCAGGTGGCTTGTCCAGGGAGGGGGCTTCCACCACTACACGCAGCTTGGGAGAGGCTCGGATCTGCAGGGCAGAGATGCCCCCCGGATCTGTGCACAGGGTGGAGGTGGGCTGCTGCTACGGGCCAGGTTCTGCACGCTGCTGCTCCAGGAACAGCATATCATATACCTGCTGCTACCAGCTACTGGGGCAGCAGCAGCGGGGCAGAGCCCAGCCCGCAGTTGCAGCCACCTCTGCCCTGCACAGATCCAGACAGCACATGCCCCCTGGGCCTCTCCTGAGGTGCATGCAGCAGCAGAAGCCACCCCCAGGCCCCAGAAGAGCCTCCTGGGCTCTTATTGTCCCACAACCTGCCCCAGGGACCCACTCATTCCAGCCCCTGCCCACTCCCTCCCTGTGGGGGCCTCAGTTTGCCTCCTGCCACGCCCTTTCCCCTTCCCTAACTTACCTGCTGTGGTGGGCAGTGCTTGGCACACCATGTTGCATGCAGGCTCCATGTCTGTCTGTGTGTGCCCCGACAGCCACCTGGAACCTGTTCGCAGGCTGCCCTGCAGCCCTCTGCGCTGCCCCACATTTGAGGGGGCTAAACTCTGTTAGCTCTGGCCTTCCATCGCCTATGGCTACGTGCCTGCCTGCCACCCATGTATGGGTAAAGTATCATTTTTCACAGAACATTCACGGAACTACCAGGACCCATTTGCCAAGCTCAATGGTAGTTCCGTGAACGTTCTGTGAAAAATGATACTTTACCCGTGCATGTGCTGCAAGTTTTCGACAAGAAATCTACGATTTTCTCAGGGCCCTACTCACCACGCACATGCATATAGTTATTCCCTCCAACCAATCACCCTGATGACCCAAAACAATAAACTGCTGCAGGTTTCTTTCTGATGAGAGCAGATAAATTTGTTATAGCAAAGCACTGAAAATGTATTTAACTGACTTCCCTGTCTTGGAACAATCATATCAGTTCTGGAAAAACTACTGAATTGAAAGGCAAAATAGAAAACATATAGTCTGTTACCACTCAGCTCGTATTTTCACTTTTGTTCTAAAAACAAGACCTACATTTTTCATCCAGATCTCTCAAACAACTTCACACACACAAAAAGATTAACACGGTGTAGAGATGATTATTATTAATGACAAAATCAATTATAAAACCAAGTTATAACATGGAATATACAATCACATAAAAGACGACTGTAGGCTTTTCTGCCCAGGGACACTTGAAAAATGTGTGACTTCAAAGTGGATTATTTAAACTGGATGGATCCTTTGTGTAGATGTTCATATTCAGACTTAAAATGTACTTAACTTGGTTTAATTTACTTGCAGAGTGAATTAAAGGCACTTTAATTCTGAATGAGCGCAGGAATTTGATTTGTGTAAACTATCTTAAAAGTTTATTCAGATTAATCTTTTTAAGTGTGCCCATGTAGACAAATCCTGAGCAATTAAAGGAGAAGTGGTTTAAGAAGGTATTAAGCTGTCTTTCAGTCAAGAATGGTTTGTTAACAAGGAAGGCATCAAAACACAAATACGCAGAATTAATTTATGTAGTGCCTAAGTTTATATAAATCTTCAAACACCACATAATCCTGTAGCTACGTCTGTGAGTCTGTAGTTCAATTCTATTTTGTTGCTATATGTAATACTAACTAAAACCCACAAAACATTTGTGATTAAATTTTTATTGCAAAAGCGTTTCTTTAAATACAGGATTTTTTGTTATCCTTTGACAAAACACTTTAATAGAAGCAAAACTTCTCACCTTCGAAAAGGCTACATAAAAGCTGTCCATGTGTAAACAGAGGCTTAGGAATATATATTTTGTCAAAAGTCTGACCTTGTGACTTGTTTATAGTCATAGAATAAGACGGCTCTTGTACACGTGACTAAGGGCCCTCGTACACATGAGGAAATTGCCCCTTTTAGTGGTTTAACTGCCCATTTTAACAGTTTAATTGTGTAACAGTCCACACATTCAGCACCATGTTATGATTAAATTTCATTAACAGCGTATGCGTTTGGCGGCTATTTTAATTTCAATGATTTTTTTTACATAGCAAAACAAAACATATCCCATGTATTTTAGCTTGCTATCTAACAAATTACAGTAATATTCCTCACGTGTACAAGGGCCCTATCCAGAGAAAGCAGCAGGGATGGTGCACTGGGTGCTGGAAGCTCAGGCTTGAAAGGCTTCCAGTGCCCCATACACCGTCCTTGCCACCTTCTCTAGCAGCCAGCACACCCAGTTGCCCTTCTGCTGCCTTCCCAGGGCACCCAGCTTGTTCCCAGGTCATCCCAGGCAGCAAGAGAGTGGTGCATGGGGAACTGGAAACCTGTCAAGCCCAAGCTTCCCTGAGCACACCCAGGCTTCCAGTGCCCCGTGCACTGTTGGATCTGGTGGGTGCTACCTGTGAGCTGTGGTTGCACCTGTCCAGCTAGCATCCTGCCCAGGTGGTACTGGGGGGCATCACTGAAGAGAAGCACCAGGCCCCCCTGCAGCTCAGCGGCTGTGCAACCAGGCAGGGTTAATAATTGTTTATCAAGGGAGACATAGCACATACTAAATTGCAGTCAGTATGTAAACTGCACATGTACTCACATATATACAGTGCATGGGCTTAGACTGCATTGTTCCTTCTACATCACTACCTGATTTATAAGGACAACAAATACCACTTTTGAAATGAGCCGTCCACCAAGACCACTGAGATTGTGGTAATTTAACAGAAACAAACTATTCTTGATGAAGTTGTGCAAAAAGAAAAATGTTCCCTGAAATGTAGTGCTCTTGAGGCACAGTCACTTGAAGAAGGAAAGCTTTAATATTAAAATGTCCTAAGACATAACCCCTTCCTTCAGACACAGATCTTTCCTAGTCCCTTCATTGGAAAAGTTACCTGTTCATAACAGTTAGATATTAACCATCATTCTGATGAAAAAGAAGCAAACATCCATCTTAATTGGAGGATTAAGCGACAGGCAAAATAAAAATAATACTTAGTATTGGGAGATAACATTCCCTGAACAACTGAAGACATTTCAGCTGAACCTCAGAGCTCAGGTCTCTGTTCACAATCCTTTGGCACAAAAGATGATACTTTTTGGTCAGAGAGAAATGACACTGAATGTGCAAGAAGACCAGTGGATGCCTTCAGGCCATAAGTGGGACTCACTGCTGAAGTAGTGTGGGGGATGAACCCAGGTCTCCAAAGCCAGAAGAAGGTACAAAAATTGGCTGTTTTTTTCACCCAAGGCAGATCTTGGATCCAAGTATGAGCCCCTACCCTCCCACTCTCCAAAACTGAACTGGGTTCTTATGATGATGGTCAGTGCTGTCTGGTCCTCTTGAGGAATATTTCATGCATATAATCCCAGAACTTTCCCTGATGCGACTCATTGTGGTGAATCATGGCAGTGAGGGCTTCACTTTGGTCAAGGCTCTGCCAGTAATCCTGCAGCCACATCTCCTTCCAACTGAGATATACAAGAGAAAGAAAGCACAAGCCATTACTACGTGAGAGGGTCTGGGGCTGAAGCATCATTAAGACTTAATTTTTCTCTCGCCTAGGAGGGAACACAACCCACGACAGAGTTTGGGGAAACTCAGTATAGAATACCAAATTATGGTGCCATTATGCTCCCACAGCACGTTCAACAGAACCTGCAATGTAATTTCCCTTTAAAAACAACAAAACCTCACTCCTGGCTTTGGGACTTGTTTGGAAAGAGCATGTGAAAATGTCATTCCATTCAAAGACACTTATTCAGCACCTTGGTGAATAAAATCCTCTAATAAAATATAACCTGTCATGGAACTACCTCTAGGGCTGCCAACTATCTCTCAATGGCCCAAACAGTTGTACTTAAGAGTTGGACTGAGACTGGAACTAATTTCATATAAAACATTCAATGGGTTAGATAGGAATAGCACTCTGCCATTTTATATCTAGGTTATATCTGAAGTGATAAGTGAGAGGTGAAAGCCCTTCCTATCATTAACCCCCTCAGCCTTCCAGTTCCTTGTTTTTAAAATGCAAGAGTTTTCACATTTTTAATCACATGGACTACATCTTAACATTTGTCAGGCACCTCTCTTCCCATTCGTGATTGTGTTGACCTCCTCTCAGTTTGTTCAGGGCAAGTCAAATATGGCAGGGCTTTATTTAAGTAGTCACTAACATCCTTCTATGTCCAGCTACATCTGACTGGGCACATCTGTCTAGTTACATCCTACTGGTCAGCTAATCAAGACTATTATACATACTAGCCAGAAGTAATAAATGGGAGGTTATGCCAAATCTAAGCCTGTGAGTTACTCACAACTTATTGCTTATCCATGCTGCCAGATTCCTGCGCTTCCCCTCTCTTCCAACCAGAAAGATGAGTACAGCACTTTCTGTATCTGTTGTATACACCAAACAAAGGATGAAACTTCATAGGTGTATTGCCCAGAAGCAGCCCTCCTTTATGTACCAGAACCCCAGAGAATGCACACAGCACATTCCAGACACGTTTGTTGTGAAGCAGAAAGTGGATTCTAGACCAAAGGAATCAGCTTTCCTTTATCAAATGCCATTTGAGATATGAGGTTTTTTTCAGAATATGCTAATAAAGATTTCAGAACAGACCTTCCAGTACTGATTAAAATGCAGAGGATCAGGATAGAGATGCTTGTACTAGCATACAAAGCATGTCTGCCTCAAACCCCAAAGGTAAAGCACAACATTCAGATGTGCCATAGGGTTACTCTGCCTACCAATTAATTAATTAACCTTCTGCTCAAGGACCACCTCTTCTCCCTCATCAGTGCAAGTTAGATGCTTTTTGTGAAATTGAACGGCGGCGGTAGGAATACATGAAAAGAGAGCACAATTGTTTAAGGCAGTGGCTGTCAACTGTGGGTATGCGTACCCCTAGGGGTACTTAAAAAGGTTGTAGGGGGTACACAGAACGGATGTAGCTGAGAAATGCCATGTGCATGCGCGCAGCTGCAGCGTAGCACACAGGTGGCGATGAGCACAGCCCGGCCAGTGGTGAGCAGCTGGGTCCAGCTGGCAAGTCTGTTGTGGGGGAAGGAGCATGGGGGGCAGGGCAGATCAAGGCCCCAGCGGTGGGGGAGGGAGTGGGGCTGTGCAGCCGGGGCGGGGCATGATGCGGAGCCGTGCACAGGTGGGGGAGTGGCTCCCACCATCATGTGCACCCTCGGGAGGGCAGGGTGGATTGGGGCTGGGGCAGCACCAGGCTCTTCCCAGCAGGGGTTGGGCCAGGCTGCACTCAGGGTAAGCAGCGGTGGCACTGGCAGGGGGGGTTGGAGGAGCTATGGTGAATTCTGGAGTGGCTGTAGCCCCTCACACAGTCCCACTCCCATAGGCAGTGAGGGAGGGAGTGGACTGGGGCTGCAAAGCTGGGCGGAATGCAGGACGGAGCCTGCCCTGCCCTGCGCAGATCCAGAGACACATGCCCCATACCCTCCTGGGGTGCACGTAGCAGCAGGCCACCCACCTCCTCGTGCCCCCCGGACAAGCTGCTTGCGGCTCTGTCCCGCATTCCGCCCTGGTTGTGCAGCACCTGCCCCAGCCCCACTCCCTCCCTCACCACGAGGGCCTCAATCTGCCCCACCACCCTAAAAACAAGAAAAAATACTAAGGGGTACTGGAGCCAAAACTCTGAGTCGGAAGATACACTTGTTAAAAAAGGCTGAAAACCCCTGGTTTAAGGTGTTTCCCCCAAGCTGCAAGAAGTGGTAGGGAGATAATAGAAAAAGAAATAATTCTGAAGATGAAACCTGAGGAAATGTGGTTGGAAGGAATTATCAAAGTTAAAGTTTCATACTCTTTCAAAAGTGAAGCATGGACAATTGTGGTTTGTGTTTAGAATTAAAATACTAATGTTATTTTATTAGTGACCAGGAACACTAACAGTTCTGCTTTATACAAAATAAAGCTGAGATTTAACACCATGTAGACTTCCTAAAATAATTAAACAAGTATAAGGACAGTAAGGATAAGCTGGCATTTTTCTTTTTGCATTGCTACTAACAATTTTTATTTGAGAAACAAATTTCCCTCTGACACTTACAGCTTTCTTTCTGCCAAGGAATACTACCCTAAACAAGAAGGAAATGGCACTGAATTATTCAAATACAAACATCATTACAGTTAATTATCTAGCTTTAATACTGTGGGGCAACTGGTAATATCTCTTTATTGACAGTAGCAATGCTGCAGCAGTAAATTATATTGACTCTATTTGTGTGCTTCTGACATAGTTTTGACTGCACATTTCTTATCCTGAATTTTCATGTGTGCATGTAACAGATTGGCACGCATCTCCCTCATCCCACTAGCATTTCTTATTTCCACTTGGAATGTTTCACATTACCAAACATTTGTAGTCTTTGGTTCATCTCACCTCCAATTTGAGCAGTCCACCCAAGGGACTACACTTGATCTTTGCCACACATAATATTCAAAGGCACGGAGGTAACTAAAAGGATAGTCACTCACCTTCCTAAATGCATATATTTAGCATGATCTTGTAATCTACCCTGAATCTGAAAAAATAAATCCATATTAGAGAAATAAATGGGACCTTTACACCTTACTCAAGATGTGTGGACAACCACCTTCCTTCATTACATGTTTTTGGAAGTGCTATATACAGTAGGGGTGTGCGAAGCGGGCCCTATTCGATTCAGATTCAGCCCGAATCAGGGACAGTGATTCAATTCATTGATTCGGATCACTGTCCCTGATTTGATTCAGCCGAATCTGAAGATTCGATGCTGATTTGGAGAATCAGCAATTCGGATATAGACACAGTTTTAAAAGTTTTTTCTACATACCTTGAGGTAGCAGGTGTGTCTTATGATTGCTGCAATGCTGGGGCACATGGAGTGTCCCACAGGAGTGCGGGGTGGGGGGCCTCCACATGCTCGGTGATGAACCCAGAAGTGGACTAGAAGTACTTCTGGTCCACTTCCAGGTCTGCTGGGGAGCCCCACTGCGCCTTCCCGGCTCGGCGATCAGCCACAAGGGGACCCTGGGTGCCCCCCCAGACCCAGAAGGCACCAATCACTGAGCTGGGAGAGCATGGGGGGCTCTCCAGCATGCTCCCCGGCAGACCTGGAGGTGCACCGGAAGTGCTTGTGGTCGACTTCCGGGTCTGCTACCGAGAGCACTGGGGAGCCCCCCACACTTCTGTGGGACACTCCATGTGCCTCAGCACTATAGGGTTCATGAGCCGCCTGCTACTTAGAGGTATGTAGAAAAAAAACATTTAAAGCTATGTCTATGTCTGAATCTTTCTGAATCGATTCAGAGGGTTCTGATTCGATTCGGAGACATTAAAGGGTCCTCTGACTCGATGTGGATTCAGAGATTCAGCCACCGAACCAGGCCAAATCTCTACTGAATTGAACCAGGAACCGAAGCTTCGCACAGCCCTAATACACAGTCCTGGAATAATTTCAGATTTCAATCCCTAGTAAACAGGAGCTATAATCAGGAACTGTATTCACAGACACCATGCATGGTCACTGATTAGCACTCTCTGCAGCAAAGCCAAATCCATCCTTTTGCACCTATAAATTGTCTCTCTACCGATTCAGCTGAGGCACATTATAACAAAAATGTAGATATCTACTCATACTATGAAAGAGAGAAGTCTATGAAAAAGAGTACTTTAGCAACAGGGCTGTGAAGCCAGTCCCTTTTATAAGTACTAAATATACTATGAATATGGACTAAATATAGACATTGGATTTTTGACGCATTATAATCTGCCTGGCAACTGACTCCCCAGCCCAGCCTCTGGCAGCTTTACTTTTCATCCCATCCAGGAAGAGCACACACCAACTGCTGAAACTTCCTTAGCCTGACAAAGGGTTTTTGAACCCAAAAGCTTGCTTAATAACTATTCTCCAACTATTTGGGTTGGTCTAATAAAAGATATCAAATTCACCCAAGGAACCTTGTCTACCTATGTCCTTAGACCAACACGGCTACAACCTACACCCCTACTATGAATATGTGCATTTAAAAAAGCAAGGTTTGTTGTGATCACTTACTGGACCAACTGTATAGCTGGGAGAGATGTTTGACAAACTCTGAGCACAAAACACCCTTCTTCAGGTGCCCAAAAGCTTGTCAAACATCTTAAGAACTGCCATATTGGGTCAGACCTGTGGTCCATCTAGCCCAGTGTCTGACAGCAACAGTTGCAGCAAGGGAAGTTTACATTGGATATTAGGAAAAACTCTCTCACTAGGAGGGTGGTGAAGCACTGGAGTAGGTTACCAAGAAAGGTGGTGGAATCTCCATCCTTGGAGGTTTTTAAGGTCTGGCTTGACAAAGCCTTAGCTGTAACGATCTAGTTGGGGACTGTCCCTCTTTGAGCAGGGGGTTGGACTAGATGACCTCCTGAGGTCCCTTCCAACCCTACTTTTCTATGACTCTATGAATGGATACTTTAGA